TGCGTAGACACGCCAGCCCTGCTGAGATGCACGCTTTTAATCTAGTATCAGGCACGACAGGAGTTGAGCCCATCCCATCTCCCAGCTCTTCTTTCACAAGAGCATCCCTTACTTTAGTCCTTTATTGATTCTGCACCCAGAGAAGTTGGCTCCGACCAGATGTTATGAGGGGGCAGCCAGACAGGAGAGCAGAATCAAAGCGGAGAAACTGAGCCAGCCTTTGTACGGGGCTGCACTGCGGACCTGAGCTACTCAACACCAAATGCAGGAAGATTCCTGGATGCTCCTCAGCTTAAGGCTGCTTCTTAACATTTCCTTCCCACCTAAAGGGAAAGACTCCTTGTTCTTATTTGAAGGGGAGAATCTCATAAATACCACTGGATCCAATCCCCAGCAGGGGTAGATGTGCATCTTTGTTTTTGTGTTTACTTTTTAAATCTCTACTTGCATTTCTCTGCCTGAGAACATAGAGCTTGCTGGTCTAATCCTGAGCAAGCTCTGATGTCTGAGTGCCCTTCAAGGCTCTATTAACACCAACGGGGCTGGAGAGGAACACGGATTGTGTGCAAATTCCACCTCAGGCACTAGGGGTTGGGGTGCCACAGGTTGCCCAGGAGAAAGCACCGGAAAGACCTCTACACCTTGCATGCTTTGCTCACTTGCTTCCTGCAACCCTTGTGGCCACTCAGACAGGCCCGTGGCCGGTGTCATGCCCTGTCCCCTGCGGCCAGAACGACACACCCCAAGAGTGCCGGGTGCACCTTGGAAAATGTGGCCATTTTGCATTCATTTCCTCCCAGTTCTCAGCTGCTTCCAAATGAAGCAGGATCGGAAAATCAGATTTCGTGATAAAAGCCAGCCCTGACTCTGCTAGGATTCCAGGGACCCCACAGCGCATGTGTTTGGGCCATTGCCCTGAGGAGGAAGCAGTGTGTGGTCACCTGCTTCTCCCCTTCGTTTCTTCTCTTCTCTTCCCTTCCCTTCCCTTCCCTTCCCTTCCCTTCCCTTCCCCTTCTCTTTCCCCTTCCTTCCTTTCTTTTCTTTTCTTTCCTTTTCTCTTTGTTTCTTTCCTTTCCTTCTGTTTCTTTCTCTCTCTTTTAAACTTTAAATTTTGTATTTTAAAGAGAATAAAGACTAACAGAATAAATCCAATCAAAGAAAAACAGTGAAAGTCACACCGGAACTTCCCAACAGGCCAATCATAAGTCGGCCATGACTACAGGATGGCTTGTGTTATCTTCACAATACTTGTCCATACCATCGTGGTAAAATCCAATAAAATGAAACAGAGTAAAACCAATCAAAACAAAGTGAAATAAAACAAGACAATAAATCAGAACAAAGCTACATGGCGAGAACACTATTGGATTTCAAAAACAAGACAGAAGGGAATGCCCCATATTTGTTATATTGCATACTGTCATCCTCCCAAGAGAGGCTCAGACTATCAGCCTTAGGTCTGCAAAGTCAATCAAACAATATAAGCCTGTCCTCCTTCCGTGAGTCGGCAGAAGCCATGCTGGGTCTGGGAGGAATACAACAGGAAGCCAGTTCACCCTTCCCATGAGCCGACTGGTGCATGGGCTGAGAATCAAGGGGACCCCCTCCCCACTCCCTACCCTGGAAGCAACCGTTTGGCCTGTTTCTTTCAAAGCTGCTCATGAATGCTATCTGGCTCCACCCTAGACCACTGCTCACTTCCTGCCCTGAGTTTTCTAACATCTTCTGGGACAATATTACATCCCTTTTGTGGCTGCTATGTTTCCCACAGCCAACAACCTTCTCCTCACTCTATCCAGAACCCCAAGAAGCATTAAGCATGCAGCAGGTATGCAGTGGCCATGATTCATGAAGGAACTGGCTCTTTCCCAGGAGTTCGTTGTTGACCACATAAGGCTACTGACCAGCCTCCTTGATGCTGTGGGAAGAGGAGGACAAGGGTGATGTGGATTTCATGCTGTGGGTCTCCATTTAACACCTGCTTGCTCATGCATTATGGAGCCAGGACTGGACGCAGGTGGACCACACTGAGCCTCCCCTGTAGCATGGGCTTGGTAAGATGACTTCCTGCTATGTGGACCGTGGGGCCCAAAAGCGAGGTCACTCATGTAGCCCCCAGGGCCAGACACCACGACCCCTGAAAACATGCTCACCTCTCTGCTAGTCTGCAAGCCGATCGCAGCCCTAAGGTTTTAGACACAGGTCCCATTTGCAACAGGAGCTCTTTGTGAAGTCAGCCTTCCTTCAGCTAGCAAACAACTCCACGTAAGGTGACCACATGTCACAGAATAAAGCCACAAATGCCAGGAGTGTGTTGGAATAGGCTTTGCCAGGCACAGGGAAACCCACCCGGGGAAGGTTCTCATTGCAGGGCCCTGACACATTATGTTTAACTTTATAATACCTAAAGAGATAGACAATTCTTCTTAAGGATACAAGAGGCATTATGGTAACCATTGTTGATAACCTTGTACTCTGTTTTACATCATGTGCTATGTCTATCCTTGGTTTTGACTGACAGCTTTGTTTTATCATGCTTGATTTTATTCTCTTACAAAAAAAAAGTAATAAGATCTAAGGGAGCAATAAAGCCCCAAATGTGTAAATTTTGTTGTAACAAAGAGAGGGAAAGAAAAGTGCCCTGAAGGATACAACAGCAAGGGTGTTTAGGTGTGTTACATAGAAGACCATATTAATATTTTGGATTGGATTACTGAACACAACTGACTGCAGTCTCACTGTTTGAATGTTCGCTTTGTGTGCTCTGATCCTGTGACCTGAAACACGGTTTCTAAGATGATAGCGAGTAATCTATTAACTGGTGATAGCATACTGTTTTTTTGTTTTTTTGCTTTTCTGTAGTTCTGAATTACTTGTACCCTTACACTGTTTTGTTTTGTTCTGCTTTTTTTCCCCTCTTTTTTCTTTTAAATAAAATATTTAAAAAAAAATAAAAAGAAGAGCAAGGGAACACAGAAAAAGATAAGAGGCTTGGACCTTAAGAAGGGAGGCGTGGTGGTAGAAGAGGATCCCAGTGTGTTTGATATACGTGGAAATCCACCAGTATGAAACTCACTAGTTTCTATAACTATAGGAAGTCGTTTAAAAATGGAGAAAAAATCTTTTTGAAAGAAAACACTGAATAACTGAGAAGGACCCTCTGTAGCTACTGCTTCTGTCTGGTTTCCTTTGGCATGGAGAAGGTTTGTTTTTATGGAACCATGGCTGATCCCAGGTTTATGTTACTGGAAGATAACTCGGGATGCTATAGTCCGCTTTTTGTTGCTAATCACGAAAGGTGTTTGGAAAAAGTCAAATCAAATCAACTAATGCTACTGAAAACACTCAGATGAATGGGGTTTATAAAACAGCAAAACTTTCCAGTGAAATTAATGGAATGGCTTGGGGAAAGGATTTTATCTTTAGGGAAAGGGAAGGGAAATGAAGAGAAGGGAGGGGAGGGGAGAGGAAGGGAAGGGGAGGGGAGGGGACGGAGGGGAGGGAAGGGAAGGGAAGGCCAGGCAAAACAAGAAAAGGAAAGGAAAATAAAGAAAAGGAAAGGGAAGAGAAGGATAAAAGGGAAGCCTTAATGGATGGAGGGCAGAAGGAAGGAAGGGCGGTCACGTACAAATTCACATAAATATAACATCTGGGTCCCACATAGATCTCAAAGACTGAAAAATACTCTCCAAATATCCCAGAGGGCAAACCAGTGGCAGCACAACACTGCGAGATAAACTTCTGAATGCGTGAGAGCAGGTCTATGTGCTCTGATAATTAAATAAAAGTTAGTAAGCACAACGTCACTGCTATCCACAGCTCAATGACACGTGAAAATCTGTCGCTCACTTCAGAGACGCGACATCCTGCTGACTCACAGGATCAAATGCGCTTCTGATCACGCCACCAAGGTGTGGATAATGTAGGCCGATTTCCACACGAGATTTTAGAAAGGTAAATCACAAGGAAGCCAGTGTGAGAAACAGCTCAGAGTGCTGGGCAGATTTTTTACAGACTCTGACAGAGAGAGCTCTGCTTTTTTTTTTTTTTTTCCTGCTTAGCGCTCATCTTTTGTGCTCACTCTTGGGATCTTAGGGCATTGTGCACGGCTGGAGCAGAAGGCTGGAACCAGCTCATTCTGAATTCTTCATGTCAAGATGACAGACAAAAGACCAGGGGTTAAATCTGTCACCAGAGGAGTTCCCAGAGAGACAGATAAACAAGAGGTAGGAGCTCCAAGTAGGGTCTGATCTTATCTCTTACAATGGTGAGTGCTCCCTGATTTAGAAGAGAACACAACACAGTACAGCCAGCCACGGGGGTCTACACCTATAATGTCAGCTACTTGGGAGGCCGAGGCAGGAGGATCTCAAGATCATGACCGACAAGGTTAATTGAGCAAGACTCTTTTAAAAACATACAAACTAGGAATATCGCTGTCTGATAGAAGGCTTGCCTAGCATGCACAAAGCCCCTGACTTTTACCCTCGGACTTGAGATATTTAGTTGTGCAAAACAAATGGAAATACAGTAATGATCTCAGGAAGGTATGAAAAGCATCTGGGGAAGGGGGGTGCAGGAGGTTAAACCCAGGAAGTTTTCATTGAACTCTGCCCCAGCCCTCTTTTATTTCATTTCATTATCTTTATTCGGAGACAGGTTCTTGTTAAGGGACTAAATGGCCTGGGGTGGCCTCAAACTTGAGATCCTCCTGCCTCAGCCTCCCTGGTTCCTTTCCCCACTCGTGTCTAGGATCACACATGGACCAGCCCATGCCAGAACCACAAGGTCACCATGGCAACGACGGATGCACACACGATGCAGGATGCTCTCTGCATTCTGTTTACCTCTCTGGATTCCCGTTTCTCTGGTTACCACTTTCAAAAAAGCAAACGTTAATACACTCATTGCCTAGAAAGACTTCAGGAAGCCAGGGAGAAGTTCTTAAAGAGGGGGTGGAAGGCGGCCACTTTCTAGGAAATCGCGGGCATCACACCTACCTATACTCCAGTCCATCTCCTCCACGGCGTCCCCATAAATGCCATGGCGACTTTTGCTGGCAAAGTCCTTGGAAGAGAAGAGGGCTGTGTGCACTTGGAGATAGGACACGAAAAGGAGGAAGGGTCTCTCAGTATTCCTGCAGAAACGACAAGAAAAAAAAATGAGAGGTCAGTGCAATAAAAAGCTTCTACCTGCCATGCCGATCATGCATGATGTGCTGTGAAAACTCTCAAAATACTGAGGCTTAAGCGGCTGATGCGGGATCTTTCTTTGTAGCAGAGTAAATCTATATGAAGTGACTTACTGGGGCACAGGATGCCTGTGTGTTTCCCAGAGCGAGCACTGGCAGCTCCTGGAGATGCACACAGGAAACCCCACGCCAGCCCCTTCCCCATGGCCAGACCCTCCTGCTCTCACTCTGATCCTGGCCGGCTCTTGGCTCCACTCCCAATGTGGATCCACTCCCATCCTCCAGGTCTCCTGTGTCATCACACACAGTGCAATGGTCAGCTTTCTACTTGCTGCTACATGATACCTGACACCGACAGCATGAGGAGTAGAGGGTTAACTTGACTCAGAGGTTTGCAGAAATTTATTCCGTGCTCTGCTCTGTGGGCTCCAAGGCACAAACATCACAATGGAAGCAAATGGCAAAGGACAGATGCTTACCCCCATGGCAGCTAGGATGCAGAGAGAGAGACACACATAGAGTGACAGAGAGAGACAGACAGAGAGACAGAGATAAATAGAGACAGAGACAAAGAGAAATAGAGACAGAGAGACAGACAAAGACACAGAGACAGACAGGGGCAAAGAGAGAGACAGAGAGAAAGACCAAAAGAGAGACAGAGAACGTGAGAGACAGAGATAGAGAGGGAGACAGAGACACAGGAGACAAATACAGAGAGAGACACAGAGAGATACACAGAGAGAGACAGAAAGAGAGACACAGAGAGATACAGAGATAGACAGAGACACATAGACAAAAACAGAGAGAGACAAAAGAGAAACAGAGACTGAGAGAGACAGAGACAGAGAGACAGAGATAGAGACCAAAAGAGAGAGACAGAGAAAGACAGATAGACAGAGAGAGATAGAGGCAGAGACAGAGAGAAACAGAGGAGCCAAGGACAAGAATACGCCCTTCCAGGTCATAACCCAAGGTCCCACCTCTTCCATTCAAGCCCAGCTCCATGGCACTGTCAGCCACAACCTCATCAATGGGTGAATCCACCAATTTGTGGAGTGACCCACGATCCAATCAATTTCCAAAAGCCCCACCTACAAACTCAAGAGGCTTTGGGGTGGCACATTAGTCCTAAACCGTAGCACAGCATTCTGACAAACCCCACCCCAATGTCAGCACTCATTCACACGTTTCATGCTGCAATGCGACACATTTACTACTTCCTAACATCAGCAGCACATTTACAGGTCTAGGCCCAGGACCGGATCTTCATTCTGCCAAATGCTTAATTCTTCCTCTGCCTGGCACACATCTTTCCATAAATCAGCTCTTTCATGTCTAAGAGGCATTTTCTCTCTGCCCAGGCAGCTGTAAGAGGGCTAAGTGTTAGGGGGCTTTAATTTTCAATTGAATTCCTAAGACCTGTTCCAGGCATGGGTTGTAGAAGGTGCTCAACAACATTGCCAAGTGAAGAAGAGGTGGATGGGTGGGTGGATGGGAGGATGCGTGAGTGGATGGATGGATGGATGCGTGGATGAATGAATATATGGATGGATGGGTGGATGGATGCAAGGATGGATGGAAGGGTGAATGGATGGATGGGTGGATGGATGAATGTATGGGTGGATGGATGCATGGATGGATGGATGGGTGGGTGGATGGGTGGATGGGTGGATGGATGGATGGATGGATGGATGGAAGGGTGAATGGATGGATGGGTGGATGGATGAATGTATGGGTGGATGGATGCATGGATGGATGGATGGGTGGGTGGATGGGTGGATGGGTGGATGGATGGATGGATGGATGGATGGATGGAAGGGTGAATGGATGGATGGGTGGATGGATGAATGTATGGGTGGATGGATGCATGAATGGATGGATGGGTAGATGGATGGATATGTGAATAGGTGTATGGATGGATGGATGGATAGATGGGTGGATGAATGGATGGATGGATGGATGGATGGATGGACAGATGGATGTAATTTCTAATAGAGCTACTTTTCCACTATCCAAGAAATGTTTATGAGCTGTGTACCACACTGGACCATGCACTGGTCATTTCCTCTATATGACTGTATTCCCAGTGCCACCAGCATGGCAATGGTCCAGGGCGAGAGCTATAAATTAAGTACATCTCTATGCTAAGATGAAACATTGCATCAGCTTTCTCAGCTCTTGCAGCCCTGCCTGGCAGCCCAGAGACCAGCAGGAGCTTAACTACATATCACGGTTCATGCCAAAGTGGCTTCCTAGTGTAGGGGTGACTGCATCCAACATCTACATCTCTTGTCATTGTGAAAGGATCATCTCCTGCATTCAATACCTTTTCCACCCATTAGAGAAATCATGTCATCAACTGAGGTCATTTTGCTTTCATATATATCAGATCAGGTAACTCCTCAGGATAACTGAAAACATTTCCAATTTAAGATTACTTATCATACCTCTAATTTAACCCTGAAAAAGTAAAAGGATGTATACTTTCCTGAGTGTACATGCAATTTCCTAGCAATGAAACTATCCTATTGCTGCCCACAGAATATCTCAATACCTCACATTTACTGGGACTACCCGCTCCCTTAGATTGGTTTTGCATTTACGAGCTCCCAGTCCTTTCAAACATGACATAGGCACCAAACACTAAGCCCAGCATTTCTTGTTCTGTGGAAACAAGAGCATCAAATAAGCAAGTCATGGCTAGCTATGTTTGTGTTTTATTGTTTCTGCTTCTGAAGACAATTTTTAAAAATTTTTACTTGTAGTAACAGGGATTGAGCTCAAGGCTTTTGCACTGAGCTACATCCCTAGATGTTTGCAAAAATACTATGAGACAGCGTCTCGTGAAGTTGGTCAAACTGCACATACTGGGTTCCAACTTGCAATCCTCCTGTCTCAGCCTCTGATTAGTGCTGGGATGACATGTGTGTACCTCGTCAGATAGCTGCCTTTTTAAAACTAACAGCACTAAATGAAAGAATATTGTCACTACTTCAGCACTAAGAAAATTAGAAGAGAGAAAGCTGTGCCAAGGGCTCTGCTGGTCATCAGACAAACTCATTCACAAAAACTTCCTCTCCTCCCAAAGAAGCAAATTCCGGTGCTTCCAACCGACTTCTGTTTCCCCAAACAAACAAATCCTCTTTATGCTCCTTCTGAAACAGATCACGCCACACAGGGGTACAGTTTCATTGCAATTTCACACTGGTCTCTCCTGCCATTTATTTCTGGATTTCTAGTGCAGAGAAATAGACGAGGGAGTGTAAAAGCCCATCTTTCAAACACCGCGCATGGGTGTGGCTAAAAATACTGGAATGGCTGTGGAAGAAGAATCATTCACAGCCTTGTTCGGAACTTCTGGCACTGGGCTCCAGTCCAATGGCAGTTGGAATGCTCTGATTACAGGCAGCAGCTCCCATGTCTAAAACTTTAAAAAACTAGAGGGAAAAAAAAAAGGGTTGAAGGAGAAAGGCAGCCATCAACACGACTGGTGTGACCAGAGGACTTGTGAGAATCCAGGAGGACCCTTTAGGGAAAAGGGCAGGCATTCTTGTGTGGTTACTCAAAGGGATCATTCATGGGACCATTTTTGCGTCACATCTCCAGAAAGCAGAGCACATCCTTTCTGTGTGAAGCAGATAACAGACGCCAGCACTTTATGCATCTGTGCTCTGCATGTCAAAGGGGAATCATTAAGTTTTAGACAAAAAAGGAAATAGGAAACTGTTTTGCAAAAAAAAAAAAATATGCTACCAAGAAGACCAAGTTTACAGAGATAGAAATAAAGTCCATGGTGCATGAGATCGATGCCCAGGAGTCATGAATACTGGTCATCCCATTGGCACCCGGGGAGTGCCTGCCAGATCTCTCTTGGGTGAAGATACAGCACCCTTGCAGGGAACAACTCCTGAAAATGTACTGCAACCGGTGCAGAAGCATGGAACCTTCAGCGACCACTAGCTTGGGGTCCGTGCGTTAAACAACCAGAAGGCAGCTTGCAGTGTCACCAGCAGCACACCTGCATCTCAGAAGGAAAGGATTTGCGTTCTATAAAGGCAGCACTTGGAAAATGGCTAAGCCATCAGAGCTCTTGCTTTGTTTGTTTTTGTTTTGCATTTCACATGTATTCGATGTCCACACACTGGAAAAAAAAAGGAAGGGAGGAACCCACAGTTCGGGCAAAGGTATCTGTAATTAGTCCAAGCTGTCTTAATTACCACTCCATACAGCTGCAGAAGCTGAGTTCCAAGACACAGGGACTCATCTTGCAGAGGTCAGAACTGGTTCTGAGAGACAGGTCAATTCCAGAGGCTCACACGAGGCACTGGCATTTGCAAGCATTTCCCATAAGGTGTAAGTGTCTGATCGCATCACATGCACGATTTGCAGACACATACAGTGGCAGACTCACCTCCTGGGGAAAGGCTGGGCACCTTTATTCATGTCCCAGTTGTGGCATGCTATGGATCCCGTGTGGCAGAGGGGAACACCTCTGCAGCCCTGTACACTCCCAGTTCTCTATCTCCACAGGTAGTACTTCCTATGCCTAGGTGCAAGGAACCTCAGCTCAAAAACTGGATCTTTCATAAATGGGAAAGGGACCAGGAGACAGAAGGGGAAGAGAGGAGAGGAGGAGAGGAGGGATGCAAAAAGCACTAAGATATGTCCGTATCCATGAACCAAACCCCTACAATGAGTGTATCCATTATGGAATGCAAATACATAGTAATTATAAGTAAAGAAGTTTAAAACTACTGGACACATAACTGCACCTGTACAGAACATCCTGCATACTTTTCTCTTCCCTTGCCATTCTGACCTAAGAAGTAGCCTATAATAAGCAGTTCTCAGGCATTCATATACACTCGTATGGTTAAGTTATTTTGAGATGATTGGAAGTACTTGTGAGATTGTATGTAAGTTGTACACAAATACTACGCCATTTT